AGTCCAACTGCTTGACCACTTCAGGGCTGACATGTTGCAAATGTTAAGGGAAGAAATTGGACTTGGCTTAGGGGATCAAAGCAGGCAGGAGGAAAGGTTTGATTCTGCATATCAGCTATACAAAGTGCTCTGACTCATGGGGCTTTGATAAAAGGTAGTAAAATAGCACTGGATTCAAAGTGAGAGACTGATAACACCTTGTGAAAGGACAGGCTAGCTGCAAGGAGTGACAGGCATTTCTATCTCCATGAATACTCAGATGTGAAAGACCTGCACAAGGCTTAAAGTTATTTCAGAAAAGTAAGTTTATTACAGCACTTTGGGAAAAACAGTTTCTACCTCTTTTCCCCATTTATAGTTATTCATAAAAAGATTTTTTCCACTTCCCTGCTGGCTGCTCTAAGTTGAATGTGGATCGGGGCACCTAGTGTGACATTCAAGCTAATTTCCACAGCACAGTGAGAGTTATTGCTTTCCGGTGCAATACAATGTACAGTTTTTTGAATGCTCATTTTTTTCATTATTCAAAATCAGATTTTCTTCTGCTAAGGACATTGAGTTCTGCAAACTACTCCAGACAGCTGCAGTCACATGAAGTTTCTTAGCCACCCCAAGAAGGACACATCTCACTTGTCTTTAAATGCACCAAAACTGTGCAATCACCAGAGATTGCAATCTTGCAGAGAAATGTTCCACTTCTATTACTTGCTATCAGAGATATCATCTGTTGTCTCAAAGCAGTTCGTTTATGAACTGGTTCCAGAGAGCTAACATCTTAGTTGGGATGAAATGTCCCAAATGTCTGATCTGAGAAGTACCCAGGTGCTTTACAGGGTAAGAGAGCAACATTCAAAGGCAAATTAACAAGTCAAACTGTGGGGTACTTTAGCTGCCACCTGACAATAATGCAGAGATGCTCTGATGAGAAGATCCTATTCCAAACTCTGAGTAGAGTTTAATGACCCATTCTCCAACTGTGCATGGTAAGTACAATATTCTCCAAAGTAGATTTTTGGGGTTTAGTTCTGTATTTGAAGAAAAGCTTCCTGAATATTCATTACTTCATCTTAGGAAATAAAATTTCCTTGTGATTTAGCACTGGTGGCAGATGCTGAGCTAACAGGTTGGTGTTCGCCATCTACTTATACAAAGAATAGGCCTCCATTTTTCTTCAACTCTACCTTAGAAAAAGTGTCTGTGATGTAACAGACTCCTCTATTTACCAATGTCCATCTTAGTCTCCACTTCTCTGAAGGTATTTCCACCAAAAAATGGATTTGTGAAATATATCTGTCCATTCATTCTGAAAAGATCTTGACTTTTCAGACCCCATTCAGAAGGGATACTTTACTACCCAGTTGCACTGGATCCAGCAACCTAAAGGTCTACATCTTGACCATTCCCATGTTACTACAAAGGGACGTAGAAAAGCAGGAGGGAGGCCTGATGCGATCAGACTGTTGCTTTAGTGTTTAATTACCAGGAAAACACACACACAGCCCCAGTGGTAAAAACGCTTAGTCACACAGTTAACAGAGACATGCATGCAGAGAATCCTGTCCTGCAAGCCAATCCAAAGTCAACTTGACAAAGACAAAGAGAGGTCCTTCCTGGGAAGAGTTTGCTTTCTCCCTTTTAGGGGCTCCCCATCATCAGCCTGCATCAAACATGCAGCTCTTTCATTCCCCCTCGTGCAGAACCTCCTTCTTGGTTTTGGTTTTGTTACGGATGGTTGCACAGTCCCTAAGTAGGCCAGGGCTCTACAGCTTCCCACCGTTTTAGCTCTAGCCAAATCTATGTGTGGTCTTTACAGATTTCCCAGGGCCACCGTTTAGCTCACAGCTACTATTGGCTCAACTGCAGAGATGTCTGCCTTTCCTGACTGGATGTTGGAGGCTGATGGAAGGACCTGGGAGGCCTGCAACCTCCTAAAAAAAAAGCCAGTCGGCAGGATGGGACCGTGGAGGGAAGCCTCTGTTCTTCAGGCCTGGGAGGTTTTCTGCACATGTTGAGCAAAGCTTTCAGTTCCGATCGGAAGCTGTCGTTGAGCCAGCAGTAGATGAAGGGGTTGTAGCAGGTGCTGCTCATCGCGAACCAGTGAAAGGCGAAGTACAGGGCATTGTTGGTGTGGATGGTCTGGCTGGAGAGGAGGACGACATAGCAATTCAAGGGGAACCAGCAGACTGCAAAGAGGATGACAACAAGCATCAGCATCTTTATGGTCTTCTTACTCTTTTTGCGAAGGGCAAAGTACTGCTCAGTGGTGACGTCCCCGATGATATTGCGCAGCCAGAGTTTCTTGGCCACTGTCATGTAGGCAGCAGAGATGATCAGAAGGGGCAGGACATAGAGCAAAATGAAGGTTGTTAAGTCAAGGTACTTCCAAAAGAGGTCAGCAGGCTCGGGGAAATCTGGCAGACACAGGCACCGGGTAACTTCCTCACTGCAAGTGGAGATACCGGACAGGGGGTGAGAGTGCATATAGCCAGGCACCATGGGAGAAGTACCTCAGAAAGGAGTTAGGTGGAGAGGGCTCCTGCCATACAGCCTGGAGGCAGACCCTTCTTTATGCATATGTGTCACGTGCGTATGTTAAGTGGAGATCTGCTGTCCAAGGAATTGAGCCATGGAGCAGCCTGTGAGCAACGTGGTGATAATTTCTTGTGGGCATTCATGACCTTATGATAATTTTATGAATTTCATCAATTACAAAATCTCCAGCTGCACAGAAGTAGGTTTTTATTCTCTGGCAAACAGAAACAGTCTCTGCACATATTAAGGACCTTTCCCTCATTAAAGCACTTTCCAAATATCAAGGCTCATGGCAGCATTTTATGGAACAAACAGCTTAAGAAAATTTTTTCACTTTCCCAGGACTAAAGAGTAGATTAAAACCTGTTAGGTTTTAGGTTTGTCCTCATTTCTGGTCTGCCCAAACAGGTCAGATTGCTACATCATGTAAAATACCAGCATATAGAGATAGAGGGTCCAGGCCAGATCCTCTAACTCCATAGCCTGTTTTGTGTGATTAGTGTGACAGAATAAAGATAAAATAATTAAAAACAGAAGCAAGGAAAGGATATCAGCCATTGCAAAAGGGCTCTGATGAAAATTATAATCTAGATCCATATTTGGCTGACCTCAACATAAACTCAGGGTTTTCAGTAGAAGATGCCAAATTATGACCACCGAGAGTTTGGCCTCCAGGGAGACTATGGAGGAAAGCAAAGCACATCCTTACCTGTATTCAAAGGTAAAGAGTTTTTGGTAGATAGCATGCGGTAGAGAAAAACATGTTGCCATGATCCAGATTACAGAGATGTAGATAACACCTTTTGCAGTAGATATGCGAGGTTTCAGAGGGTGCATTATCACCTGTGCAAAATAAACCAATATTCAGGCTCATGACATTGCAGGAAATAATTATATCATTTTTTCATGTGATCTTCCAGATAAGTCTGTTACTTAACGTGGAAATTCAGCATGCAAGCAGTACAGTCTCGTGGTGGGTTGACCATGGCTGGACAACACGTGCCCACTAAAGCCACTCTATCACTCCCCTCCTCAGCTGGATGGGGAGACAAAATACAACGAAAGACTTGTGGGTTGAGATAAGGACAGAAAGACCACTCAGTGTTTACCGTCATGGGCAAAACAGCCTCAACTTGGGGAAATTAGTTTAATTTATTACCAATCAAATCAGAGAAGGATAATGAGAAATTAAACAAAATCTTAAAATCACCTTGCCCCAACACCTCGCTTCTTCCCGGGCTCAACTTCACTCCCGATTTCTGTGCCTCCTCCCAATGAGCAGCACAGGGGGATGGGGAATGAGGGTTGGGGTATGGGGATTGAGATCAGTTCATCACACATTGTCTCTGCCGCTGCTTCCTCCTCAGGGGCAGGACTTCTCACACTCTTCCCCTGCTCCAGTGTGGGGTCCCTCCCACAGGAGACAGTTCTCCATGAACTTCTCCAATGTGAGTCCTTCCCACGGGCTGCGGTTCTTCATGAACTGCTCCAGCGTGGGTCCCTTCCACAGGTGCAGTCCTTCAGGAACCGACTGCTCCAGCGTGGGTCCCCCACAGGGTCACAAGTCCTGCCAGCAAAGCTGCTCCAGCGTGGGCTCCTCTGTCTCCACGGGTCCACAGGTCCTGCCAGGAGCCTCCTCCAGCACAGACTTCCCATGGGGTCACAGCCTCCTTCGGGCATCCATCTGCTCTGATGTGGGGTCCTCCATGGGGTGCAGACAGATATCTGCTACACCATGGACCTTCATGGACCTCCATGGGCGGCAGGGGGACAGCCTGCCTCACCATGGTCTTCACCACAGGCTGCAGGGAACTCTCTGCTCCACAGCCTGGAGCACCTCCTCCCCCTCCTTCTTCACTGACCTTGGTGTCTCCAGAGTTGTTTCTCTCACATATTCTCACTCCTCTCTCCAGCTGCAGTTGCCATTGCGCAGGGTTTTTTTGCCTTTCTTAAACACGTTATCCCAGAGGCGCTGCCACTGTCGCTGATGGGCTCAGCCTTGGCCAGCGGTGAGTCCATCTTGGAGCCAGCTGGCACTGGCTGTATTGGACATAAGGGAAGCTTCTGGCAGCTTCTCACAGAAGCCACTGATGTAGCCCCCTGCTACCAAAACCTTGCCATGCAAACCCAATGCAACATTCTTCACCCAGCTCCCATTGACTGTAAGCTGTACATGAAAGGCCTGAATTTTTCCTCCATGGAAATGGGTAAAGTCAGATCCCAGTCCTACCCTCACATTTAAGTATTTGTGTCTGGGTGGGAAAAACTGGGTGCCAGGGGGCCTTGCACACATGTTAATTTCCAGGTTCAATTTATTTAATAGCAAAAAAAAAAAAAAAAAGAGAGAGAGAGGAGAAAATTGTCTCAATCTCTTCAGTATTGGTGAGCCAAAGAACCATGAGTTTGTGATTTAACCAGAGCTCCCTGGGGATGCTTCTGGACAGCCAGGTCATTTTCTGGAAATGAAAAGCTTTGTAGCAGAATATGTCAACTGTGGTTGTTGGGTGACTCCAAACTGACAATGCTTGACTGTCACCAGTTTTGAGCCTGTTATCAACAGCAACCCACAGCTCTGCTCGTGACAAACACCAGCGTGCTACAGGCAGCTCTCTGGTATTCAGGGTAACAAGGGGTGAGGCATCCCAGAGCAAAGGGAGACAGAGCCACAGAAGCTAACTGGGATGTCCCTGCGTCCATGGTGGTGGACAAACCACCCCAGAGGAGAGCTGTCCACATGAATTCCTATCAGGATCTTGGACTTTCTCCTTGTTTGAGAGCTACAGGATTATCTACCACAGAAAAGCTCCTGTTCCCCAGCTGGAAGCGATAGCAAGGCAATGGACATCTCCCACCTCGCTGTGGGTTTGAAAATATTCTTTCCATCTGACAGCAAGAGCTGCTCCCCTACCCTGCCAGCTCCTCATGCATCTTACATTAATCTGAGAGCCGAGAAGGAAAGGACACGGGATCATCCTTTCTCATTTTAATTATGCCCTCCCAAGCTTTCCATCTGTCCGCTTCAGAGAGCTCTCACCTGGTGCCTGTCCAGGGCAATGGCTGTGAGGGTCAAGGCTGAGACGTGGAGGGAGCAGTACTGTGCAAACCTGCTGACATGGCACATCCCCTTCCCAAATATCCAGGTACTGTTCACAAAACGAGCCTGAAATCAGAATACCATTAATTTTGTGCACCCCCACACTCCTCCACATGCTTATAGATATCTGACACACCTCTGGCACATAATTCCTTGTGTTATGTAAAAGATATTTTTAAAATAGCAGGTTCTTTGTATAATTGTATAATTTTCTGGCTTCTGAACCCTGAAGAGGTAGGTTAGTGCTGCTCAGCAGCCCAGCAGTATCCTCCAGGACAATACAGCAGCGCAGTACTAAACATGTTTGTTCTGTTTTAGTCACAGTGTGTCCTTCTGCAGTCTAACTATTGAGTCAATACATTCATTTTTTCCTTTTAAGCCCTCCTTACAGGCTAGGGCTGACCTATGTGCCTTATCTGACTTCAAAGCAAACTACAGCTTTTCAACACAGATTGTAAAAAGACGGTGAGCATTAATCTTTTTTTCAAGAGGTTTATAGTATTCCCTTGGAAATACTTCAGAGAAGGGAAGGAAAAAAAAGATCAGAAACTACAAAGTACTAAGTAATCACTGTGAGGTTATTACTGTTCAATTACTGTCAGGGACACTTCTAACAAATGGGTAATTTCAGATCTTCAACTAGATAACAGGAATTAGAGAAGAAAAAGACGTGTGGAGTTTTCCAAAGACAACTCCAATCACTGTAATTTGGACTGAACATGTATCTGCAGAGCATCCGTGCACCGAAGGCCACCGAAGTAACTGTCGATGCCTTCACGGCACCTCTGCCCCAGTCTTACCAGTGTAAAAGGCGTGTTGAGGAGTGTGATCATGATATCGGCTACAGCCAGGTTCACAATGAACAAGCTGGTGGCGGAGTGCATGCGCTTGGTCTTGATGACAACGTGACAGACCAGGATGTTGCCGAAGAGAGAGAAGACAATGATGAAGGAGTACGCCGTGATGAGCAGGGCTTTCACCGTGATGCTCTGTGACTCTGCTCCGTACCGGCTCCTGCCCACAAAGCTCTGCCAGTCAGCCAGGCTGTCGTTATCCCAGGAAAAGAAACCCGAGGTGTTCGGGATGACAAAAGTCTTCTCTAGGCTCCTGTTGAGGCGTAACTTTCCTGGGGTCACAAAGGTGTTAACCAAGTCGGGGAGTGAGAGCCAGACCAAACAGGACAACATCTCTGAAATGCCGCTCTGCTCCTCCAATTTGGAAACAGCTCATTTGCGAGAGAGCCGAGCTGCCGCCGGGTGGGTGCCGGGAGAGCCGTGCTCCCCTCGCTCAGCCCAGGCACGCTCAGGCGCTGTAAGCACGGAGCTGGTGGATGCTCCTGCCTCCCGCAGCATGCTCCTCTCCCGCTCGGCTCACCGCTACTTTTGCTCCTTCAGACAGCTTTATACCCCCGAGTGAGCTCCAAGCCGTTGGGCAGCATGACATTATTTCTGCTCTGACGTGCTGCTTTTCCACCCAGTCACGCTCCCCCGGGCGCTGCTCCAGCATAAGCACATCTGTGAGAACAGCGAATCAATCTCTCCAGGCGTCAGCAGCCTTTTCCTCCACCACCAGCCCAGCTCATGCAAATTCTGTGCTGTTTATAAACCAGCAGTGTGTGTGGCACCTCTGCGCTCTTCCAGGAGCACCGTTCAAATTTAAGCTCAGTTTTAAAGGTCTGGCAGGCAAGTTTCAGCTTATTTCACAGCATGACAGTTACTAACTAGCACAGAATAGGGAGGTAACAGATAAACTGTGAATAACAAACTGGCTTACTGTACTTACAGTATCTTTCCAAAGATCTTTTTTTTCCTCAGAGAGAGAGAAATACTTAAGCTTTCCTTTGGCAGGGATTTCCCCTTGGCCAAGGGAAGGGGTCCAAGTTTGATGTGAAACTGTGCTTTCGAGGGTTTGTAGAAATACAGAGGTAACTACAAAGAGGTGATTATATGGGACAGAGGATGGGAAGGAATGTCCCAGCCCAGTGAGTCCAGTACCCAAAGCAACAGGCAGCTGTACGTTGGACCCAGGCACAGACAAGACGGCAGGACATGTGTTCCCTGTGCCTTCCCCCTGAAAACACAGTAGGAAATCTAAAATGAGTATCAGGAGACCAAAAGCCACAAATCCTACACAAGCACAGAGTGACATGCCCCTCCACAAGTGCATGTGTAAGATGCTGCCCCTCTGCTGGGGACAGATCTGCTTGGCTGGTGTCAACTAACCTCAGGTAGAGCAGGTTTTGTACATAAAAGTCTTTATTTAACCATCAATTAAAATAACACTATCTGAAAGCTTATACTATAAGCTGGTCACTCACTGGTGAAAATAACACTTCCAGAAGATGTTTGTGACTCCCCCAGTGAACCACTCAGGCTGCTTTCTCCTGAGCGCTGCTCAGGAGTTGGACGCAGCAGGACAGGCGGCATGGCCAGCCCACAGCCCTCCTCTGCAAACTGCTGCCAGCATCTATTTCTTCCACAAAATTGTCCAATTCAAGCTCTTTTGGCAGCTTGCCTGTATCAGAGGAAGATTTCCAGCAAACCTGCTGGAGCTGCTAAGGTGGCAATCACCTGTGACCATTCTGAGAGAAGAAAGAAATCTGTGTCCAGCTCAGAAGCACTTGGCCAGAAGGATGCCCCTGATCTGATACTGCCAGGAAAACGCAGAGAGTCTCACAATGCAACATAAAGGCCCAGAGAAACGGCAGAAAGCAGGACAGGGCAGCATTCTGGTGTGGGTTTGGGGTCAGAACAGAGCAGTTGGTGGCATATGTCCCCCTTCTCGTTGGGCTGCTCCAGCAGCTCCCAAGTCCTCCTTTTCAGTGCTGCTGGCCAATGCATAAGGGTATTCTGTCTTCTGACACTCAAACTCCTGCTCTGATTCCTTCACATCTATCAGATCCTGCTCCCCTGTACTATAATCCATATCCCAGCAAAAATGGTTAGTTTTGTCTGTTTACTCCCTTTGATCTAATTCTTCATTTCTGGCAGGGTACCCTTGCATGTGTAGCTAGAGCCACCATTGCCTTTGAAGACCAGGTGCTTCCAGGAGTGCAGGAGGCCTCTCCTCACCTCTGCCAGGCTGCTGGGGGCAGGATGGGAATCTCCTCCCATGCAGCCCAAGACCACCGTTCTCCAAGCTGGACTCAGCATCTTGTGATCCAAAGGAGGGGGTCCCACCACACACCGTGCAGGCCCACTCAAAATACCCACAACAGGGAAAAGCCCAGTGGAAGCTCCAGGGAGCTCCTGTGTCACCCGTGTGCCCTTCCCTGCCTCACATCACTCTTCTGGTTTAGTCTGTATTTAAACATACCCCAGTACGAACTGCCTGAACAGTTCACCTCCGCGTGGTGGTTACCCAAGGACAGGCTGTAGCAGATTTGTCAGCTTGGCACTGCCTCCTGCTGACTTTCCCCCTCGGTCCACCAGCCCCAGCCACCACTGTCAGCAAAGTATGTCAGGATTTGGTATGCTGTACCTGGTTTTTGTAAAAGGTATCTGTGATGTAATTTATAAAGTGGAAAGTCTTTAGAAAACGTTTGAAATAAAGCTATACAGATCATGAATCCAGGTATCCAAAAAAAGTTATCAAAACCATCAGTGCACTAGCACTCTTAAAATTATAATAAATTAGAAAACAGACCTGGTAGAAAAAACAAGGTTATAAAAGGAATATTAAAAAAAAAAATCACCCAGACACACTAAAAAATCCAATTTGGAAGCATTCAAAAAAAGGAATAATGCTTTTTTTCTTTCTCTTTAAATACACAGTAGAGAATGCAACCCCCTCCCCAGCCATTTCCCTCAGAACAATGTTTCTTTCACTACTGTGACTTTACTGAATTTTTGAGCTTCCCTGGGGCAGGTGATCTGGAAGTTACATGATTGAGAAATGACTTTTCAAAACCACCAGTGTGATCTCTGAGAAATAACGTTGATTCTCTGAGCATCTTACCCCCCCTGTATAACAAATCCCATTAACAATTAGGAGAAGTATCTGTTTCTAGTACAGTCTTTCTACACGCACCAGATCACATTTTTCCCCCTGCAGTGAAGGATGTCATCTTTATGTTCTACACAAGACAATTCAAGAACTGCTTCCCGTTAACACTATAAACAAAGCCGCTGTGAATATGACAGCTGACTGAAAAAGAAAATGTGAAAAAGGTAGAAAGAACCTTTGATATGACTCCTATTAATCCTACATACTTTGCTAAAAATCTTTGCCTAGGATGTGCCTGCAGCATTAAAAGACAGAGTCCTTTTAAGACCTTAGTGAAACAATAAACTAGACAATTTAAGACTTTGTAACAACACAGGCTCAATTTGGTGTGGCAGGTTGACTTTGTGGGTTTGCCAGGTGCCCACCAAGCTGCTCACGCACCATTCTTAGCAGGACAAGGGAGAAAATTAGATTAAACACTCATGGATCAAGATAAAGGCAGTTTAAAGGAAAAAAGCAGACGTCGTACATGAAAGCAAAGCATAAATAGAAGACTTATTCTTTGTGTTCCATCAGCAGGAGACGTCCAGTCACCTCAGTACATGAGGCGGCTGCTTTGGAAGACAAATGCCTTAATAACAAACGCGATCCTCCTCCGCTCCTTTCTTTCAGCTTTTATTGCTGTGGTCAGTTGGGGTCACCTGTCCTGGCCGTGTCCCCTTCCAACCTCTCCCCACCCCCAGCCTGCTGGCCTTCGCAGTGGCGTTGGAGAGACAGCCCTGATGCTGCGGAGCGCTGCTCCACAGCAGCCAACACGCTGGCGTGGTGTCAGCACCCTGATAGCTGCAAAAGCAGGGCACAGCGCTGCCTGGGCCGCTGCAGGGAAGGTGAACTCCCCCCAGCCAGACCCAACCCATGTGGGCAGCAACATAAAGCATCACTGTTTTAAAAATGTTAGTCCCTCGGATTCAGTGTAGTCCATACCACAGCCATTCACAATTCACTTAACAGAAATAGTTTATTTTAAAAAAAACAAACCTAAACCCTCCTCTTGAAGGGTATTTACAGCAACTTTTTAATTGCATAGGTAACATTACAGCTGACAGCCCTTCATGAGAGAGACAGACTACCAAATTATTTGCTGACACCTTAAGCGACCTCACTGCTTTGTAAGTTACTACTAAGCTCTGTGCTAGAAATTTGCAGGCTGATCATTTTTACAGAAGGCTTCAGGGAATAAAAAGGCTCTTTTAGGTTCCCTGCTAGAGCATATATTCAGGCAAAGTAACAACAGTCATGTTCAGCGAGAGCCAGAGAGACACAACTGCCCAATCCCCTCTCCTTGAAGGAGAAAGTGAAAATGCAAAGGCATGCAAAAGCTACTCAACGTAGTTAGTACTTCTCTGACGTGCTGGGGCAGTAGCCGATCAATTCTTCTCACCTCTTCCTTACTAGTTCCAATGGACACAGCTTTAGATCAGCACTTTTTGGGGAGCGGGGTGTACGGAGGTGAAGGAAGAAGAGGAATAGGCCTAGGTCTTGGCTCCTTCACCAGGAGTGGTTCCCCCACCGCAAATACACCACTATTTTAAAAGCCTCACTTGAAGAGTATTTGGAAAACAGTGATCCCGTTTTAGGAGGGTTACTGCAGCAGTGGGCTGAGGAAACACCTGAAAAATGTTGTATTGGGTTGGCATGGCAAGGTTTCAGTAGCAGGGGGGGCAGTGAGAAGCTGCTAGAAACTTCCCCCATGTCCAACACAGCCAGTGCCAGACAGCTCCAAGACGGACCCACCGGTAGCCAAGGCCGAGCCCATCAGCGACGGTGGTGGCACCTCTGGGATAACATGTTTAAGAACGGGAAAAAAGTTACTGTTTAGGAGCAACTTCAGCTGGAAAGTGGAGTGAGAATATGTGAGAGAAACAACTCTGGAGACACCCAGGTCAGTGAAGGAGCAGAAGGAGGTGCTCCAGACACTAGAGCAGAGATTCCCCTGCAGCCCATGGTGAAGACCATGGTGAGGCAGGCTGTCCCTCTGCAGCCCATGGAGGGCCATAGCAGAGCAGATATCTGCCTGCAGTCTGTGGAGGACCCCACACCAGAGCAGGTGGATGCCCGAAAGATGCTGTGACCTCCTGGGAAGCCTGCACTGGAGCAGGCTCCTGGCAGGACCTGTGGCCCCATGGAGAGGAGCCCACGCTGGAGCAGGTTTGCTGGCAGGACTTGTGAGCCCATGGGGGAC